CTGTGAGCTAGGCTGACGCCATGGCACTCTAGCCCGAGCAACAGAGCAAGACTCTGTCTCCAAAAAAAAAAAAAAAAAGATACCTAGCAGGCCAAAAGTTGGGCAAAGATGCTCTAATATTGAGCCACAGATTCGGGCTAAGTCACCAAGTGTGGGTTTCCAATGGGCTCACTCTGATTTTGAGCATCCCTGGGAATGCAAGCACGGGGCCTGCTCCTCCCCATGTCCTCACACCACATTCTCTTGGCTCCTCAGCAGATCCCCCAAAGGCTGTGGTGTTCCTAGAGCCTTCGTGGGATAGGGTGCTCCGGGATGACAGTGTGACTCTGAAGTGCCAGGGGGACTACTCTCCTGGAAACACATCCACAGAGTGGTTTCACAATGGGAGCCTCATCTCAAGCCAGGACTCGAGCTACTTCATTGCAGCTGCCAGAGTTGAGGACAGCGGAGAGTACAGGTGCCAGACATCCCTCTCCACGCTCAGTGACCCGGTGCAGCTAGAAGTCCATAACGGTGAGTCGGCGAAAAGGAAGAGGGAACTCACCAATAAAGGGGTGAAACAAGGGGCCCTGAGATACTTGGGAAGAGCCAGAAGATGATGTTCTTGGGGATTAAAATTAAGATGAGATAATCTGTGGTCCCACTGAATGATATCAGAGTGGTAGTCCTAGCTACAAGTAGGCCTTAGGCAAAATGTCAAAGCCTGCCATATCATAGATATAGGTCTGCTGCACTGCACAATTCTAGAAATCACTACACACATTGAATGCATATAGTGTGAATGTGTCATCCGGAGGTCAGGGCATGATGTTGATAGCTACCTCCCAAATCATCCCTAATGGTCTAGCACCATATCTATCTCTCTCTCCTCCTAAATGCCATACTCGAACTTACACTTCAGCATAAATTTGGCAATCTATACCTTTCCCAACGGAGATATATACATGCTGAGCTTGTACATTAATCATGGAATGGAAGTCTTTGTGTGCTATTAACAGAATCTAGGCATCAGAAGCAGGTAGGGGAAATATTTTGAAGGAGGGAGTCTTTCTTGGTGTCCCTGGAATCACACCCCACAGCCTGGCAGCTGCAGGGTAACCTTGCAAGCCTGACTCTACTTCCATGGCTGCTGCATTTGTACGATATCTATGGGTGGAACAAGCCTGGAGAGGAAGGAGGGCATAACAGAGGTGGATCTGCAACAGAGTTCAAAAGAATTGGGTCTCTGAAATTCCTTTTCATGGCTCCTTTGTCTCTGACTGTACCATCCACCTGACATGGTCCTCACGCTACAGAGCTACAAGAAGAAATATCAATTATCTAACTAGGTGAGAGATGGCCACCTAAGATCAATAAAATGGGGATTTACCAAGAGGAAACAATAGAAAAATCAAGTCTGGAAGTTATTAGTTTGCCTCAGATTTGACTCTAGAAACTGGCTTTAGAAGTCTAGTCAATGAGGGCTGTATTACACTGTGACCATGAGAATTAACTTCATCTGGCAAACTCCTGATCATCCTTCAGCACCCCTTTCATTTATCTTCTCTGAGATGCTTTCTCTGCTTTTTTTCAGGCAGAATTTCTTTTTCCCTTTTTCTTTCTTTTCTTTTTTGAGACAGAGTCTTGCTCTGTTGCAGTGCCGTGGCGTCAGTCTAGCTCACAGCAACCTCAAACTCCTGGGCTTAAGCAATCCTTCTGCCTCAGCCTCCCGAGTAGCTGGGTCTACAGGCATGCGCCACCATGCCCGGCTAATTTTT